CCGCTTCATTAAAGATTATGGAGTCCTGGCGGCACCACTTACCGGCCTACTGAAGAAGCATGCATTTGAGTGGAATCAAAAAGCTGATGAAGCCTTCCAGTTACTTAAGAAGGCTGTTGACCACACCTCCAACGTTGGCTCTTCTCGATTTCACATTAGAATTTGTGGTTGAAGCGGATGCCTCAGGCAAAGGGGTAGGTGCAGTCTTAATGCAGTAGGGCCGACCATTGGCCTTCTACAGAAAGGCCCTCTCTCCCCAGGCCCAAGCCAAGTCCACATATCAGAAAGAACTCATTGGCAATCGCGTTGTCAGTGCAGAAGTGGAGGGCATTCCTCCTGGGCTGAAGATTCATTGTGCGCACAGACCACCACAGCATCAAGCATCTGCTGGAGCAAAGAATTCTGGGCCCTGACCAGCAAAGGTGGGCCTACAAGTTACTGGGCTATGACTTTAGCATTGAGTACAACCTGGGACCTTCTAATGCTGTTGCCGACGCACTCCCACGGGTGGAAGACCTTCACATCATTGCGGTGTCACAGCCAACTTATACCCCGATGGACCAGTTAAGGCAGGAAGCCCACGATGACACTCACCTAGCCCAAATTCGGTCCCAAGTTCTTAAGGAACCAGCTCTCACCGATAGGTACACTGTGAAGGGTGATGTTCTCCTTTACAGGGGGAGAATGTTGATTTCTGACATATCCAACCATCACCAGGAGTTACTACGACTCTTTCACGACTCAGCACAAGGAGGACATTCAGGGCCTCTTCGTACCTATAAGCGTTTGGCCTCGCACTATTATTGGAAAGGCATGAAGCGCATGGTGCAGGAGTATGTAGCGAGATGTGCTACTTGCCAACAGCAAAAGTATAACACACAGGCATTGACGGGACTATTGCAACCCCTACCCATACCGGAAAGAGTTTGGGAAGAAGTCACTATGGACTTCATAATCGGGCTCCCCACCTCTCAAGGGAAGTCAGTAGTGCTGGTGGTTGTGGATAGGCTGAGTAAGTATGCACACTTCATTGCCCTCTCCAGACCTTATTCAGCGTCCACTGCGGCTCAAGCTTACATTCGGGAGGTGGCCAGACTCCATGGAACTCTCCTCTCCATCTTGACAGACCGGGATTCCATCTTTATGAGTTCTTTGTGGCAAGCTTACTTCACCGCTCAAGGGGTGCACCTACATCACTCGACCAGTTATCATCCACAGACGGACGGGCAGTCGGAGGTAGCCAACCGATGTTTGGAGACCTATTTGCGGTGTTTTGTGGGAGATAAGCCCAAACAGTGGGCTCAATGGTTACCGTGGGCCGAGTTCTGGTATAACACTACATTCCAGGTATCAGCAGGAACCACCCCTTTCAAAGTGCTCTATGGGTGTGACCCTCCATCTATCCTACCATATGAAAAGGGAACAACATCAGTTGCTGAAGTTGAAAGCCAGCTTTCAGCAAGGGACCAGATACTTAAGACCCTCAAGTTCCATCTTCAGCAGGCCCAGCAGCGTATGAAGATAGCTTATGATAGGAAGCACCGAGAATTGGAGTTTTCAGTTGGGGATTGGGTATACTTGAAACTCCAACCATACAGGCAGGCGTCCCTAGCAGGAAGGTCGACCTAGAAATTTTCTCCCTGGTACTTTGGGCCACACATTGGGGCTGTTGCCTACCGACTGAACCTCCCTGCAGAGTGCCAGTTGCACCCCATATTCCATGTTAGCCTCCTGAAGCCTTGTCTATCTTCCTCCGGTGTTACCAGTCCCACACTTCCGCTGTTCACGGAGGCTGGAGAAATAGTGTTTCAACCACAGCATGTTAAGGACATCCATTGGGTGAAGAAGGGCAGCAAGGTTCACAAACAAATCTTGGTCGTTTGGAAGGGGCTGCCACAGGAGGATGCTACTTGGGAAGATTTTGACCAGTTACAGAAGCAGTTCCCCACCACCAACCTTGAGGACAAGGCCGTTCTTGATGGGGAAGGGGATGTTAGGACCGGCCCAGAAGCAGGCCCAGGCCCAGGACACTTCGGACCCAGGTCAGCACACCCCACGACTCAGGCGAGCAGCACCTCCTCTGAGATTTGTTTACACGCGCTGTCCACGTCCAGAGATCTGAGCAGAGTTTGTTGGGTTGTTACAGGCCCCGATTGGGTTGTTACAAGCCACTATCGGCAGTTATATATATCTATAGCAATCAATTGAGTGGCATGAATGAAATAGTTCTGAGTTTCTCTCGTCTCTCCTCTTCTCTTCTTTTCCTCTCTCTCTCTCTCTCTCTCGTCTATTTCAGGAAGGTGAGCTCCCTCGAACCAGCTCTTCTTCTGTAACATGACCAACAACCCTATCAGAATCAAAGAGCTGTTTAGCACACCCATTTTTTTCTCTCTCCTTTGGGGCATATCTGGATGCCTCCATCAGAAATCAAAGATCTGTTTAGTACAAACTGGGAGAATTGCTGCACAAAGAGATAAGATTTTGTGCCAATGTGTTAGAAGCTCTGTGCTATGGAGTATATGGCAAGAAAGGAAGACCGGAATTTTTGAGGACAAGGAAAGCAGTGTGGAGGAGCTGATTGAATTAACTATGATCAGAGCTGCCCACTGGGCCTTGGTGTGATGGTTTCAAAGGTGTGTCCCTAAATGATTTGTCAAAGGAATGGAAATCTGTGGTTGACTTTCAGGTAAGTAAAGCAAAGAGGGAGGTCAATTGGTGTGCTCCAGCAGTAGATAAACTCAAAACTGAATTTTGATGGCTGCAGCCTTGGAAACCCAGGTAATTCAGGTATTGTAGGTGTGCTCAGAGATCATAATGGATGTATCTTGCTAAGCTTTTCTGGGCCTATTGGTTTTGGTAGTTGTCAAAGAGCAGAACTGAAGGTCTTCAAGGTTTGGAATTGATGAAAATTAAAGAATTTAAAAATGTGGAGGTGGAAAGGGAATGCCAAACTTCAATTAGCTGGATGAAGAAGCAGGATTTGGTAACACTTGATTTCCTTTTTATGTTGGTATCTCTGTTCTTTCTTTTTTGTTTGTCTTTGTTAGAACTTTGAACTCTTTGGAGCTGGTCTGGCTATTTTTTATCCTCCTGTACTGCACTATGTCTGTTGCTTATCGAGAGAGTTCCAGGAGCACTGAATGGGATCTCTATTTCTTTGTCCTGCACTGAATGGAGTCTCTCTTCCCTCATGTGGACACCCTGCCTTTACTGGCCTACGGCTCTATGCTGTGGATAATTTCCCTTGTTGGGTTCTCAACAGATATTCCTTCCTGTGACCCAGAGACCCCTTTCGCACCATTAGTCTCACTTATACCATCATCTGCATTTTCCTCATCATTGTCCATGAGTTCTTCATTAAAAAGACAGCTACTGTTTCTTTTGCATTGAGTGCCATATCCCTTTTCTCATTTTCTGGCCTTGTTCTGCCCATACTTGATTTGCCATTTATACTTTTTTCATCCCTTTTACCGTAACTTACTCAGCCTGAATCCTTGTTTCCATTTGTCATTCTCTTCTTTTCTTTTCGTACCTGTACTAGTGATAACTTGGTTTTTCATTGCTGATCGAGTTTGAATTGGAGAATGGATTCCACTGTAGCTATGAAGTTCCCTGGTTGCCTTTCACTTCAGCTGCCCTTGAGGAAGATAGTGATAGATGTTTATTACTGCCTGTAGTGTTCTTCTTGCTTTTCATGGCCATGTGAGATAACTAGTAAGACATGTACAAGTACAACAGATTCTGTGCTTGATTCAACCATACAGTCCGAGACTGTATCAAGTCCACCCGTCCCAAGACCCCAGATAGCTGGGACCAACATTGGGTAATGGCCTTCATAAAAATTAGAGCACTCCCATCCTTGGAAGGTTTAAACTTCAAGCTTATCACCTCCTTGATATTCAATTCTCCTCGATAAGTTCTTCCATTTAACTTGAGTTGTTCACTTCTTGCTTGGTCATCACAACCAAAGTATCTTTCCATTCAGGGTTGCCACTGTCTATCAACATCACAGGAACACTAGTGTATCTGAAACTATATCTATTGGTTTCACCATTATTTCTTATCTTCTGCTGTGATTCCCACTGCACTCGTTTCTTTGGTTTGTGTTTCTATTACAGAATTCTAGCACCTGCAGCAGGGAGGAGAGTTGAACCCACCCTTCTGAGATCTTCCATCCAGGATGAACACCATTTTCTTGTTACTCTTGAAAAACTGAGTTAGATTAAGAATGTACCTTTTATATTTTCCTTCTTCACTGTCTCATATCTCCTCTTCTCTGCTTGCAATTTTCATTCACGGTCACCTTTCTGTATACTGTGCCCTATCAAGAAATCCTGTGAACTAGGGATGCTATAGCTCCATCCAAGAACTCTGTTTCTCTCTCCACTTATCTAATCTTGATTGCCCATCTTGTGCTGCGAGTTTCCCCCAAGAACACCACTCTTCTCTATTCTTATTCTATTAGGCAAGAGGATCCACTGCACAAAGGGGTAGGAAGTAGAGACTGTTAATAATGTACGAGGTAAGCTTTCACTCCTGGATCCTATAGAGACAATTGGTGATCAGAGGGTTTCTTAGAAGGTGTTGGGTCATTGAAGGATAGCTATGGGCTGTTAATCATGTTAATATTGCTAAGAACAGATGAGCTTACAGGTTATCAAGGAATATCAATCATAGTAATAACTTTTAAAAATAATAACTTTTCATAATGCCGAGGTCCAAGAGGAATTGCAATGTGGGTGCGATCATACCAGCACTAATGCACCGGATCCCATCAGAACTCCGAAGTTAAGCGTGCTTGGGCGAGAGTAGTACTAGGATGGGTGACCTCCTAGGAAGTTCTCTTGTTGCACCCCAATTTTATTTGCTTCAAAAAGAAAAAAGAGGAACTGCAATGTGTGAAGAAATATTGTTTTTACTGTAGTATGCTTTCCTATGATGAATAGAGTTCTGAAATTATTAAGAAAAGGCTTCATTTCTTAATTTGTAATCTATTGCAGTGTGCTTGATAACACCTCCATTCAGTGCTTGCACGGAGGAGTTCCTGTCTCAAAAGTTGGTGCCATGAAGCGGTTGTCAACTAATGCTTGGAACAAGTTACTCTTGAAGGTACTAATGTTTAATTAGTTTGTATATCTTGTTATTTCTGGATAGTTTCTGTTTTCCTGTTGGAAAATGAATTAGCATCTCTTTTCATGCATTGTATGATGACTTCCATGTCTTGTAACAATGCTCTAATCCTCCTTTTCTCATAGATGCAGCCCCACCAACCTACATCCTCCCCTTATTGCAACCGATTTATAGCCATTTTGGAATCTACATCAATAATCAATTTGTGGTTATGCAATTCCTTGGCCTTTTGCACTCCTTCCAACACAGCCATTATTTCAGCTCTCAAAGAGCCGCCTTCATCAATTGGACACAAAAAAAGAGCAATAACTCTTCCTTCCTTGTCCCTAAATACTCCTCACCTGAAGGACTTGGATTCCCCTCACTACTTAATCAAAAATCTGCTTTATGAAACTTCCATAGCCACGTCCGTAAGGGCCTTTCTGTAGGAATTGGGGGACACTGAATAGAATCACCTCAAAAATCTTCTTGATCTCCATACACTTCTGACCTACCTTCTATCCAATTCTGCCAACTTGGTTTCCTGTATCAACACTATGTCCGGTTTCTCTTTTTTTTTTTTTTTTGATCAGTAACAGGAAACTTTCATTAAATTATAAAAAAATTAAATTACAAAGGTGGGGGGAGGTAAACCCTCTTACCACCCCCCAACAATAAGATTACATAGTAGCCCAAAACAAATGACTTCTTCCCACCCCCTGTTTGGCCAAAGTATTTGCAAATGAATTAGCACATCTTTTAACCCACCAGACACTCACATCCATTCCTTGGGTTAGCCACTTGAAATGCCTTTTTTCATTAATGTAAACTCTTAACCCGTTGTTTGCCTTCTCTATCCAACCAATTACCACTTGCGAATCACCTTCAATAATCAACTTATTTATATTCAACTCCTTAGCCCTTTTTACCCCCTCCAGGAGGGCCTGAATCTATGCTCTCAAAGAGTCTCCAACTCCAATGGTCCAAAAAAAAGAGCTATAACTGAACCTGCCTCTATTCTGAACACACCACCAACCCCTAATGGCCCTGGGTTTCCTTCACTGCTCCCATCAAAGTTGAGTTTGATAAAGCCTTCCACCGGAGGGATCCACGTCGGAAAGACATTCAGGCTACTGGGAGCCGAGACAGCTATCTCCTGCCAATTATACATGATGGTCTCTATTGAAACATCCTCAAAGAGATTCATTGTTTTTACCCATTGTGCTACCCTCAATGAAATTACTTCTACAATTGTGTTCCTACTTCTTTCTTTTTCAGCAAATATCCTTTGGTTCCTTTCCTCCCAAATCGTCCAACAAACTGCTGCCTTAGTACACTTCCACAAGATTTTTCCCCTCTTTTTGATCCGGCAACCAACTGCATAGGTGAAGAGGCTACAAATGCATGATGGAGGAGTCCACCTGCAACCAAATAAAGAGAGAAACCACTCCCAAATAGAAGAAATAAAAGGGTAGGATATAAGTAAATGAGAACAAGACTCACCATCAACTTTACAAAGGGTACACTAGTGCGGGGACAAACACCAGAAAGGCTTCTTTCTTTGAAGAAGATCGCAGGTATTAATTCTTTCCAAAGCTATTTCCCAACAAAGTGCTCCAACCCTAGTTGGGACCGGTCTTCCCCACACTTCTTTAGAAGGGAAGGGTGAGGCAGGAGCAACAGAAGAGTGGGCCAGGGCACTGAAAAAGGAGGCACAACTGAAAGAGCTAGAAGAAGAGAGGGTCCAAATTCGGGAATTCCCCGTAATCGGATCTAAAGAAACCATTTGGAGAACCTGAATCAAGGACCGCACCAAATCCATCTCAGAATCTCTAAGGCCTCGTCTGAACACCAAATCCATCTCAGAATCTCTAAGGCCTCGTCTGAACCCCAAATCCCAATTAATCTGAAGTCCTGGGCCAATGGAAGACACTAAAGAAGAGGCAGTTAAGTTTTTGTATCTAGAAAGGGAGAAAAGGAAGGAAATTGATCTTTAAGAGGTGTCTCCCCTACGCACACATGCTCCCAGAATCTCACCATATTTCCACAACACATTGTAGTTGATGACTTTCATTGAACAGTTCTTCCAAAAAACCCTTCCCAAAAGACTCCACCTTACAACAGAATCTTTCTTCTTTCCCCTCTCCCACTAAATTCAATGTCACCCTCAATATCTGAAATTAATCTCTCCACTTCTGATCTCTTTTTCTTTTTCCTTTTATTATTATCCTCAGTCTTCCTAGATAATGCATTAGCTTCAGCCATCTCTCCCCCCAAATTGAGACTTCTGTAGTAGTCCTTCTCTTGAGAAATTACTGCTCTCTCCCTTTGATCTAATTCCTCTTCCTTCTCTTTATACTCCTCCAACAATGCGCAGATCCTCTCCCATATTCTCTCTAATCCCTCCTCCTGTCTCTCTCTAGGTGCCATTTCTCCCTTTCTCAGTTCACTCTCAGAGTTGCCATTCTCCCTTCTCTTCCCACCAACTGGAACTTCCGCTTGGGATGCTGTAGTATCTGTTTCAAGCATAGAAGGCACATTAGTAACCAAAACCGAAAGGACAGTCATATCTGTGTTGTTGGAGACCGATGGGACATCATTCAAGGGACAGGGACTCGCATAAGGAGGTAGGTCTAAATCTGTTCCTTGTGATTGAGCTTGCCTTAGAGAGTTTACAGTAGGATTCAATACCCTGTTGGCTTTAACAGTTAAACTATTCTTCCTGTGCTGCCCTTCTTCTGGTGTTACATTATAGATCAAAGTGTTAGAATTTTTCCCTACTGACCTCATATCCTATTTTTCCTGAGCTATTGGATTGGGCGATCCAAAAAATTCACAATGTCTTCCTCAACTCTTTGTGAATCATGTTCTTCATTGTTCTCTTGAAAGAGTACCTCTGTGCCCAAACTAACTTCATCAAAAACATTCATTGAGCTGCTCAGATTGATGCTCCCTAAGCTTATTGTATCGTCTGAATCAGTATCACTGGAATCTTCCTTTTCATTGCTATCATACTGCTTCCTCTCTTCTAATTCACTTCGCCTGATACTCCTCGGGTTGCATTTTTTCGGCAACATCCTATTTAATCTTTCTGACGCAACCCAATGGAATGAGTTTCCAGGATGGGTGAGGTTCGAGCTTTGTGGTTTTCGGGCCGTTGTGCTCAACGAAGAAGATAGATGGTGCTTACCATCTATCAATGCCACCCAGTGGTCATGTGACCTTTTAAAACTGTCTTGGGTCTCTTCGATGGGCTGGTAAGGTTTGACCAATATAATGTTTTAACATGTTGTCCCCCCTGTTCCACCTTAGATAGGCCCACAGTGGTCGACCCACTATGATTTTTGTCCCTTCTATTAGTTGGCCCAATTTTTAGAACCGGGGGCCCACTCACAATTATCTGGCCTGGATTGGGTAGAGATTGGGCCCTATTTATTTTTAAAGGACCCAACGTTTCACCTTCCCTACTTTCTGCCCCCTTCTCACCTTTTTCTCAGTCGAACAGGTGTGCTTAAGGAAGAAGCTTTAACGCCATTTGTTACAGCTAGTGCATATGATCTGTCAGATACCCAACTAATGCCTTGTTGATCACGTTTATGACTTTCCGTCTTTGGCAAAGCTTTTGAATTTCCAAAAGTTCGCTTGCCCTTTTTTGTGTAACTGTATCTTCCTTGCAGGTTTACCAACCCCTTGCTGCCACGTAAGGTTTCTTCTTCAAACTTACCATCTTCCTCCCTTTGAGCTTCCCTCCACATTTCAGCTTCAATGGAGGAAGTCAACCAGACCACCATGAAAGCTCCTTCAACTCTCAGGTTCACTTTCCTGGGAATCTTCTCAGGCTTGACACCATTTAGTAAGATTGCTGCAAACCTAAGATCTCCCCAAAAAACACCAGCCAGTCTTGCTCCACATAGTGCTGCGATAGCTTCTGCTACTACATCCTTCCAAAGATGGAAAGGTAGACCAACCACACACACTTTTACTCCATCCATTACTGAGGATCCCTTCGAGTTTGATGAAGGAGACCACCTGAATATGTTCATCGAGCCCAGTTTATCTTGCAAACACACAGCCTCAACTTCTGGCTTGTTATCAAGAGGATCAAGCAAAGCTTTGCACCCATCAAAAGGCGTTAATACATATGTGGTTGTCATCCTCAACTGTTCTGTCACCAAATCAGCAATCTCCTCCCAACTTCTACCTGGTTTGTCGACTTCAACAATCAGTTTATTGGACCACTCTCCTTTTTCCGCCGATATCAGTAATGCCGCTCTATTTCCATCTTGCACCAAGGTAGGGGCCATTTGGTTGGGGGGGGGGGTTTCAAGGTTCACTACTGTCTTCGAGAGATCCTCTCTTACCTTCTTTTCCAAACCTTTTTCCTTTTTCATTTTCATTCTAGACATAAAGTCTCTCAGAGCCTTGACTATTTCAATCCACCCTTGGCTCTTCCTTCCTTCTGGGAAACAGACCATTTGCTTCTTGGCATTGTCATAATGCTCTAAAAGTGTTATGAAGAATCCTTTATGATTTTCCTGCATTCCACCACATACCTCCTACCCACCTCTGTTAGGAATTCTTTCCAGCATCTGTCCTTTCCTTTTGCACTCGCTGCGACTACAAAATCTATGAATCACTCTACCACATTCAGTCCTACCAACAGCACCATAGTCAGCTTAGCTTCCCTGATCTTCAAGCTAATCTGCCCTTTGATTCTTAGTTCTTCCAACAGAAAGTTCTTCGTCTCCACCTTGAGATACTTTCTCCATTGATTGGCCTCCATGAAGTTTTTCTCCTCCTTCATCACTCCAACTGCCTTCCTCATCCAGGTGCAGGCAGGATTCAATCTCAGGTTTCCACTATGGGGAGCCATTTGCATTGTCACATGTCATGAATTGAAACCATTTTTGTAAGTGGACTATTCATATTTGGTCAATTGCATAGGTCAGGTATAAAATACCTTTATATTCTTAATTTTTTGACATAACAATTATAAAATAGACATTATTAAACTAGAATATTCATTTTATGTGTTTATATTACTAATTACTTTTTATTATTTTCTTATTTATCAGGGTTTAATCAACACAAACATTGCTAACTGCTGTATAACCCATGGTTCAAAGTATTAATGCTCCTCTGTGTATAACGATACTCCCCCTATTTTTTTATTTCTTTGGTTTTCAATTTCATTTTGAATATATTCATATATATTATTTAAAAAATTGGGTCCCTAAAACACTTGTAAACAGGTGTATTGGGACTAGACCTGTTCATGGGCCGGGTGGCCCGACGGGCCGGCCCGGCCCGGCCCGACCCCCGGACGGGCTTGAACATTCTTATAGGCCCACGGGCTTAAATTCGGGCCAAAAAGCCCGGCCCACAATAAATTTGAGCTGGGCTCAGGTTTTGTCAAAATAGCCCGGCCCGAGCCCGGCTCGGCCCGACCTAATATTAAACTTAAAATTAGTTATGTGATTATGTCCATTTGAATAAATTTTTTGATTTAAGAATGTAAAATTGTGTTTTAAAATATAAAAGAAAGGGAAAAATACCATCTTGTAGGCCCATTATTCATTTAAATAGAAAAAAAATACTATCTGAATTTTTAATTCTAATTTGAATAGGGAAAATTGTTTTTTTTTTTCAATTAGGTCGGGCTTCGGGCTCGGGTTTCGGGCTTTTTATCAGGGCCGGGCTCGGGCTCGGGCCTAGTATATTTTCATTAGTGACAAGTGAAAGCCCGGCTCGAGCCCGGCCCGGCCCGGCCCATGAACAGGTCTAATTGGGACCCCATAGATACATAACAATACACCCGATACGGGGCGTATCATATTGAAATTTTGATCCTTGATTGGACCCTCAAAGATTTCAAAACCTGAACCAAGCAAGGGAATAACTTAAAATTTTGTCTTATCAACACATTTTCTTCTTCCACCTTTTTCTTTTCTTCTTTTCCTATAACAAAAGTAGGGGTTCAACTTCTTTTTCTTCTCGTAAAATGTTGATTTTCTAGGCTTAAAGTGAAATTTATACTTCTCTTTATCTCTTATGAAAATTGTGGATAATTATTAAGGAAAGATGGTTATGGAACCTAGGGAACTACCCTTGGATATATGGTTTTACTTAAAAAAAATCCATTGTCTAGGTGACTAGGCAACAAGGCGCTCCCCTGTTGCCTAGCCTTGTCTTGGCACCTTGTAAACTATGCACAGGTGCTGGGCCTGGTCCAACCCGGCCTAGGATCACCCCTGGTACACGGTCAACATGGCCAATACAGACCAAGATTGGTGTAATGGCATCTAAACTGGGCTATTCCCACAGTGTCATATGTTGGTCCCATGTAAAACCAACACAATATGGCCTGTATTGGTTGTATTGTGCCGACATTTTGAACCTTGACTTAAACTCCATAAGATATTAAGGTTTCTCTCTTTTTTTTTTTATTACAGTTGATTGTCATGATTGTATATGTACATACCTTGGGACCTACAATTCTTTAATAACTTACATTTGTAAGTATTAGTGGTTTTTGTCCTCCACTTCCTCACATGGCAGGTATTTATTTACAGAGATACTTAAGGCAGTATCTTTCTAATAGCAATCAACTAAGGAAGGCCTACATCTTACCTGAAGCTAGGTGCATGCAGTTGAATGTACTATAACTATGTATTTTCCGGATTGATTATTGTATCAGTTACTGAACTTTTCAATCTTTTGGCCCCCTCTTCTGAAGCTGCTTTGTTTTGTTTTACATTATTTTCTTCCAACCATTCTTTTTCTGATTATCTTTTTGTATGTTTTTGAATCTAGTATAATGGGGGCCCAGCACTGAGCAATAAAGATAACTGCATCAATTGCCTTCTGGATGGGGCACACTCTATGGTCAGTGCTGATAACTACAGGGATCGAAGAGCATCCATGAAGGAACTTGCAGAGGCTGCACTTGCTGGAAGGAGTTTTGATGGACCATTGTATTATGTATCTAGGGCATGGTATGCTTCTCAGTTTTAATTGTTTATTTTTTATTTTTTTATCTTGTTTTTATCAGTTATTAATTATCAGTCCAGCCACATGCCGTTTTATTTTTTAAATATGCCTTTCCGGTTATTTTTTGTATACTGTTTTGTGTTTTTATACTTGTATGGTTTATCAACTTCTAAATTTCCTTTGATTTCTATTTGTACACTGGTGATGGCTTATTAACTTTTAAAATAATGAAATGTTGCACTAGCTAGTTGAAGTAATGCAGCTAGGAGATAAATAAATAGATTGAAAGTTTACATGTTTGAATTGTTGAGTGCTTAAAACACTTAGGTATGACCCACAATTCCACATATGTTTGCTTTCGGTTCCACATTTTCACCTTGGATATATTTTATATGTTATGCTTATCATCTTTTGTGTTTTAATTTGAGCTAATAGGTTTTCTTAAACATTTAACTTTTTTTCTTTAAATTCATTCAGATTTGTGTTTTTATTTATTACTGTTGTGCCTCACTTTGAAAAGATTTGCATCTGATATGTAAATAGATACCCGTACTGATTTCCCATTTAGTATGTTTATATTGTGTTTTTATATCTACATTTTAAAGGTGTGTCATTTGTCAATTCTCATATGATTTGTTAAAAATATAATTTTACTTATATTTAGGTGCATGTGTGTGTAGTTTGATAACATTCAGATTTTTATAGCTCCACCAGTTTGAGCTCTATTGTATATTTATGGTCCCAAGCTTGGATAAGGGATGGTTGTGTCTGGTTGGCAGCCAACATTAGCTTTCTCAAAACTTTTATGAACATGGATCTGAATTGTCTTTTTGTATTCATGCTAGTGTGTTCATTGGAAATGATGTGCCACAGCTTAACTCGATTGTGGTGAGAAATGGGCAAGGGTTCCCACATCTTTTTGAATGAGGGCATATAAAGAAGTTAGTCCAAGAAACACATTCATTTAGTTGCTTGGAATGTAGAAACATTAACAGGAAAGACAATGTAATTAGTTGACACAATGAAGAGGAGAAGGATTAACATTGCATGCATACATGAAACCAAATGGGAAAGGAAAAAGCTAAAGAAATTGATGGCTATAAAGTGTATAAACTATGGTACACACTAGAAGTGAATAATAAAAATGTAGTAACTATAATAGTAAATTGAGATCTCATCATCATCATCATCATTCAAGCCTTATCTCAAGTTCCCAACTATTATGGGGTCGTCTACATGAATCATGGTTGAAAATTTTGGAATTGTTTACAGATTTCTTAGTTGATGAGATGCTAAGAAATTGGAAGGAGATTGCAGATTCAGCTTCAGATAAGAAGGCTGAAGCTCTTGCTGGACTCCACCTCACGGCTTTACCAAACTGAATTTTTATGGCAGCAGTATGGGCAATCCAGGGCCCTCCGAAATAGGGGGAGTGATAAGAGATGAAAAAAGGAATCTGTTAGCTATGTATTCTGGTCCAATTGGGGTGGGATATTCCTCGAGGGCTGAGATACTAGGAGCTCTTGAAGGGGTACAAATGGCTAAGGACATGCTTATTAAAAAATTGATCATAGAAGGTGATTCTGAAATTGTGGTGAATTGGCTAAAAGAGGACAACTCTAAACTCTGGAATTACAGCAATGAAAAGAGGAAATTTAAGTGGCTGACTAAGGACATTGAAGTTCGTTGTACATGGGTAAAGAGAAGTGCAAATTCATTGGCAGATGGTTTAGCTAGGCAAGGTGTGAACAGAAACTCTATTTTTTGGGCTATTTTGTAATTGTTTTACGGTTTGGGTGTACATTGGTGTATTAGGGAGTTAAGATTTTTTATCTCCTTTGCTATGTAATTTCTCAATCCTTAATAAAATTTCACTGGTATTGATAAAAAAAAAAATCCTGTTTTGCTAGTCTATTTTGTTTAGTGCCATGTCCACAGGATCTAAAATATGAAAGTGTAAATGTTAGAAGAGAGATTTAATAATTTTCATTACACTTGTTTTAGGTGAGGAAATTATATTAACATGATAGTGCTTACTAGACCTGTTCATGGGCCAGGTAGCCCGACGGGCCGGCCCGACCCCCGGATGGGCTTGTGCATAGTTTTTAGCCTGCGGGCTTGACCTCGGGCCTAAAAGCCCGAGCTCGACTATTTTACGGGCTGGGCTCGAGATTTGCCACAAAAGCCTAGCCTAAGCTTGGCTCGGCCCGGCCAAGTGTAACCTATTCTAATTTCTAAACCCTAGCCGAATAAGTACCCTTTCTTATTCCTTCTCTTTAGCCCTAATTGATTCTAGGTCAAAGTAGAGAAGAAGAAAGAAGAAAGAAGAAAGAAAAGAGAAAGAAGGAGAGAAGAAGAGTATTCAGCCAGACTAGAAGAGAGAATGTGAAAATCTCACTCTCTTAGCCGACCCACTTGAATTTTATTCATAAAATTTAGAGTTACAAGAAAGACTATTTTGCCCCTCATAGAAGATTGGACACAACTTAAACTCAGATACAATAGACCTTTCACTTTCAAGAGGATAAACCAGAATGACCAAAATACCCTTGACTCGAGCATTCT